TTTTTCCCGCAGGTTCGCCAAGCTGCTGCTGCGGCTGCCGGCGCTGCGCTCCATCGGCCTCAAGTGCCTGGAGCATCTTTTCTTCTTCAAACTCATCGGGGACACCCCCATCGACACCTTCCTCATGGAGATGCTCGAGGCTCCCCACCAGCTCTCCTGAATTCCCAAATTCCCCCACCCTTTCCCGCTTTTTTTTTTAGGAATTTTTTTTCCTTTTCCCCTTCCCCGAAAAAATCCCGATTTTTTGCGCTTTTTTTTTGGCGTTTTTGGCTCCGTTTTTCCTTCCCTTCGTTGCTCCCTATGGGTGCTCAAGGGGGGGAAATTTGGGAAAATCTCCCCAAAAATAACCTGGAATGAATTCCCAACTTTTCCCTGATTTTTCCCAATTTTTCCCAATTTTTTCCCAATTTTTCCCATTTTTTCCCGATTTTTTTCGCTTTTTTTTGGCGTTTTTGGCTCCGTTTTTCCTTCCCTTCGTTGCTCCCTATGGGTGCTCAAGGGGGTGAAATTTGGGAAAATCTCCCCAAAAATAACCTGGAATGAATTCCCAACTTTTCCCCAATTTTCCCTCATTTTCCCCAATTTTTCCCATTTTTTCCCCAATTTTTCCTATTTTTTTCCCGATTTTTTTCGCTTTTTTTTTGGCGTTTTTGGCTCCGTTTTTCCTTCCCTTCGTTGCTCCCTATGGGTGCTCAAGGGGGTGAAATTTGGGAAAATCTCCCCAAAAATAACCTGGAATGAATTCCCAACTTTTCCCCGATTTTTCCCAATTTTTTCCCCATTTTTTCCCCATTTTTTCCCAATTTTCCCCCAATTTTTCCCGAATTTTTTCCCAATTTTTTCCTCATTTTTCCAGATTTTTTTTCCCAATTTCCCCCCATTTTTCCCAATTTTTTTATCATTTTTCCCCATTTTTTCCCTATTTTTTTTCCCAATTTTTCCCCTTTTTTTCCCTATTTTTTCCCCAATTTCTCCCCAAATTTTTCCCAATTTTTTCAATTTTTTTCCCAATTTTTTCCCCCATTTTTCCCCCATTTTTTTTCCCAATTCTCCTCCAAATTTTTCCCAATTTTTCCCAAGTTTTTACTCATTTTCCCAGTTTTTTCCCCAATTTTCCTCCATATTTTCCCAATTTTCCCCGAATTTTTTTCCCATTTCGTCCCCAGTTTTTCCCAATTTTTTTCCCCAATTTTCCTCATTTTTTCCCATTTTTTCCCCAATTTTCCCAGAATTTTTTCCCCATTTTTTTTACCATTTTTTCCCAATTTTTTCCCAATTTTTTCCCCATTTTTTCCCCAGATTTTCCCCATTTTTTCCCAATTTTTCCCAAATTTTTCCCAATTTTTTTCTCAGTTTTTCCCAATTTTTTCAGATTTTTTTCCCTTTTTTTTTTGCGGGATTTTCCCAATTTTTCCCCCAATTTTTCCTTTATTTTTCCCTAATTTTTCCCCAATTTTCCCCAATTTTTTCCTCAATATTTCCCAATTTTTTCAGATTTTTTTCCCATTTTTTTGCCAGATTTTCTCAATTTTTTTTCCATTTTTTCCCCAATTTTTCCCCAATTTTTTCCTAATTTTTCCTCAATTTTCCCCAAATTTTCCCAAATTTTTCCCCTTTTTTTTCCAGGATTTTCCCAAATTTTTTCCCAATTTTCCCCTTTTTCCCCCCAATTTTTTCCCCCCATTTTTTTCCCAATTTTTTCCCAATTTTCCCATTTTTTTCCCCATTTTCCCTCCCCATTTTTGCTCCCCGTGGGTGCTCAGGGCGGGAAATTTGGGAAAACCCCTCCCCCCCT